GGATCTCCCACACAGATCCCCTTCCGAGTGGTTGACAGTAGTACCTAGGCAGGGAATGGTCCCTTCGGACAACATGACCAAAGTAGGTGAGACCAAGTCTGGCCATTCTCACTTCCAAGGAGAATTCCAGCTGCAGTTCTTCCAGGACAGATATGTTAGCTCTTCCGGCATCACTGTGGCCTCCCTTAATTGCAATCATCTGCACAGGAGAGCCATCTCTGGAAACTCTTTCCCATATGTGAAAAAAAGATTAAGATTAAGGAATTCCACTAAACATATCTTTATCTAGTGAGGTACCTACACAAGCCTTTTCTTTGGGTAAGTTGCACAGAAGGAAATAACAATCACTCCTGGCATGAAATCCAATTAAATAGTCACCACTGACAGAAAGGAGCTTTCCAGACACATTTGAATGAGCTAAGAATAAATACTCTCACCTGCCGATCTGCACAGTGGGTTCTGTAGCATAGACAGTGCCTGTGAAACCAGTGTGTTCAGTGATGTAGGGCAGTGCCATCATGCAGTGATAGTTAGAGATGAGGATCACATCTACCGTAGACAGATCTATTAGCTCGGTCTGAAAAGAAAGGGGAGGGAATGATACATATCTGTACAGGGCTCATAGATCAACATGATGTATCTGAAAAATGATGTTGTCAGATGCAGAGAAGTACTTTTTGTACTAAAGAATAATGACACTTTTCCTGCAATACTTCTATTCTCTCATTTTAGGATAATTCCTAATATTGACATCATGTAGCAGGACAGGACTGTGAACAATGTGAATGTAGCCAGTCTACCAGCAGCACTCTGATTTTACTAATTCTTCTGAGTTAGACACGTGAGGATAAATGACAACAGGATGCCTCAGCACCTGCTGCCTGGCAAGTGAAAACAGGTAACCTGAAGCAGAAGGAGGACAACATAAGCTATAAAGGCATACTAGAATGTAATGCAGTACTGTTGTAGATGAATACGAAACAAGGAAAGCAGCACACAGAAACCAGCTCTTCAAATGTCAAATGTGGGGGGTAACTTTTGACTACTACTGTTAGAGAGGGCATGCACACACAGAGGGGTCATGAAAGAAATTATACTCTTATATTCTAGCCTAATCTTAAACTCAATTCTACCCTTTCACTCCATTATTCAGGTAATGTGAAAAGGGAAAAGATAAGCTAGCAGCTGAGGGACAATGCTACCTATGTTTGGTAAATTTTATGGAAACTTTTATTGCTGAGTTAATAGAATGGAATATTTTCCCCATGTATTTAATTCCTACCTGTCTTTATGGCTCAGTTCAAATGTCACTTCTTCCACCAAGGCCTCCTGATTTTCACAGATGAAAGAAACCACTTACTCCTCAGAACTCCCAAACCAGTTAATGCATCTCTACAGCAGTCTTCACACTGTTCAACTGCACCTCAGATTATCGCTTTGCCCTTCAATAACTGAATCTCTGTGAGGTCAAAATCCTGTAGTGACTCCTCTCTGCCCCCTCCCACTCCTTAATAGGTCTGGGTACCATTTGTTAAAGGACTGTATCTTTAAAAGCAGTGCCTTCTGTGGGGATAAGTGAGATACTAAGGTTCAGACACTCCTCGGAAGGAAGGCTGGACAATCTACTTCTGTAGTGATACTACCTCAGAAACCCAAGGAGGGGTCGCTATGAGTCAGGTCTGACTCGACGGCAAGTAACAACAACAAGGTTCAGACAACATACCAATTACTGAGCTCTCCGTCATGGAAGAGTTAACCCTGGAAAATTATATAGTGCACTAAGGGACAAGCGTAAGGTAAAGTCAAGGAAGGTATTTAGTTAGAACAGGTAATTAAACTAGTATCTCTCCAACAGAGAAGTAACAAAGATCTCTGTGACATCAGCAAATGATAAGAGGCACCATGTCATTTTGGCTGTGGGTATTTTTTGGTTGAATGACTTTACATATAAGATAAGTTAATTTAATAAAGCTGCAAGGCATTATAGGCTTCTGAGGACAGCATGTTGATTAGAGGTCATAAGATACTCACTGCTAGGGCAATGACAATCTATTTGAATAAAATACTTAATAACAAAAATAGCCAATTTATACCATCCTTAACTCCATGCTGAGCACAGCCCTTCCAATATAATATCTTTACTTTCTATCAAGATGAAGGATCATGTAACACTTCATTGCTCCAACCATCTACTACTTCTCTAGAACCATTTTTAAACAAATAAAGCAATTAAGACAGAGTAGCTGAGTGATAGATTCAGAAGGAAACAATGGGAATAACAGTCTAAGCAACAATAAAACTCAAAAGCATCACCTCCTTTCCTCATATACACAGAAACTGGGTGAGAATATTTGAAATTTCCTTTCAATATAAAACAGTTCACAGAATCTAGAATTATGAGAAAACTTGCTTGAACACAACAAGGGGATACTGTGTGGTTTAGAATCAGGCAAGATATACATTAGGGTTGTATCCTTTCACCATTCTTATGCAGTTTGTATGTTGAGCAACTAGTCTGAGAAGCTGGATTATAAGAAGAAGAATATGGCATCAGGATTGGAGACTCATTAACAACCTGTGATATGCAGATGATACAACCTTGCTTGCTGAAAGTGAAGGGGACTTGAAACATTTATTGATGAAAATCAAAGACTACAGCCTTCAGTATGGACTACATCTCAACATAAAGAAACCAAAAATCTCCATAACTGGACCAATAAACAACATCATGATAAATGGAGAAAAGATTGAGTTTATCAGACATTTCATTTCATTTGGATCCACAATTAACATTCATGGAAGCAGCAGTCAAGAAATCAAAGGACATATTGCACTGGGCAAATCTGCTGCAAAAGACTTCTTTAAAGTGTTTAAAAGTAAAGATGTCACCTGAGGACTAAGGTGCACCTGATTCAAGCCATGATATTTCAATTTCCTCATATACATGCAAAAACTCCTCAATGAATAAGGAAGACCAAAGAACTGGTGCACTTGAATTATGGTGTTGGTGAAGAGTATTGAATATATCATGGACTGCCAGAAGAACAAACAAAGCTGTTCTGGAAGAAGTGGAGCCGAAATGCTCCTTAGAAGCGATGATGGCAAGACTGTTGTGATAGTTAAATTTGTATGTCACCTTGGCTGGGCCTGGTTGAGTGGTTGGGCAGCTGGTGGTAGTTATTCCCCATGATGAGACTGCAATCAACTCCATGGTGGGATCTACCACAAGCAGCTGAGTAGGTGCTTTTGGGATGTGGTCTGCCTCCTGTATATAAGGAGAAGCCTTGAAGATAGTCTCTAGTTTTATGGTATGCTTGAACCTGGCATGTAGCCGTGTCATTTGTTCAGCAGCCTGCCATGCTCTGCTGACCTTGGGACTTTCAATAGACTTAAATTAATGGCCTGCTGTGTGTTTTGGTAACATCGGGACGGTGTCTTTTTACTTGTCAACCTTGGGCTTGTTAGCCTCAGCAGCCAGTAGCTGCCTGAGTGAAGAAATGCCTCTAGCTTCAATAGGCTGGGAGCAAGAGACAGAGCTGAAGCCCAAGGTCGAGGGGCTTTCACACAGCCCCTAGAGCCTGGCACTTTGAACTTAAAGCCTCCAACCTCTAAGAGAATAAACTCCTGCTTGTTCAAGTATCCCATCTGTGGTATATATACCTGTCTGAGTGGTAGTAGGTAATCAGAACAGCCGAATTTTGGACAAATTATCAGAAGGATTAGTCCTTAGAAGGTCTTCATGCTTCCTAGAGGGTTGTTGAAAAAGAGGAAGATCTTCAACAAGAGGGACTGACACAGTGGCTGCAACAATGGGCTCAAACACAGCAAAGACTGTGAGGATGAAGCAGGACTGGGCAGCGTTTTGTTGCTATACATAAAGTTATTATGAGGTGGAATCGACTTGATAGCACCTAACAACAACATGTATATATATAACTAATTCTGTCTGTATAGATGTCAAGAGTGTCTACATAGATATTTTTCATTTTTCCCCTGAGAAATACATTTAATATTCAAACATGTTTGTAGGCTCACACTTATGTAGTTACTGACATACTTTCATTCAATGGAGTCCAATAAATAACATTTTAATTTGGAATTCTGTAGACCTTGAATTGGGTCAAAATAACCACAATTTATTGGTTGCTCACCATACTGTGCTAGATCCTGTAAGGGATACAAAAATATTTAAGGTAATTGCACTAGATTACAAATTCCATGAGTAATAGGATTGGGTCTGCCTCGTTCACCCACAGGTCAGCAAAGTAACTGGATTATTTTAGGTACTTCTCTGTTGCTTTTACTCCTCTCCTATTTTCTCCCAGTCACACAATGCCCTAGGACTCTAACACAGTGACTATTACTAACTTGTATCATAAAACCTTAAATGCACCACCAATTCCTAACTGACAAATGAGGATGACAGAAAGACTCAAAAGCAGTGAGGAAGAGCTCAGGATTCTTTGTAACTCTCTACCCTTACTCTTCTCACTACTATATCTCAAAACTGCCACCTTCAATTACCAAGTACATCTCTTTTTCTTCTTCTCTTTCCCTCTGGTATCCTAAAAGGACACATACACATACTTCAGAGATGAAGGGGAAAAAAAAAGTTTACAGGGCATCAATGGGGAGAATGTAAAGTAAGGCAAACTGTATTCCAAATTTTCTTTTCTCTTTAACACTGAATCATGGAAGTATTTTTTATAGGGATTGTAATCCACTTGGCGGCAGCTTCTCACTGATTTCCTCAGGAACTTTGGACTAGACACTGGCTTCCTAACATTTTATTTGTCTGTTGAGATCCCCACCCTAGGCCACTAAGGGATTAGGCCTGTCAGTTGAGATTGATTGGTTTCCTTTCAAAATACTGGAAACTAATTTCATGTTCCTTTAAAACTATGAGACTGGCCCCAAATCTTTACAGTCCTTATAACATGTCTCACTATGATAATGTGACACATATACATGACTTAGTTCAAAATTTATGCATTTCATGCAATATTAAGTATATTTCAAGTCAGTAAAAATTTTTAATTTTACTGGCATTTATTGGATAATATAAACTCTCAATTACACAGTGTAACCAAGATAAGGTAAAAAAGCATAGTTAATCTATGCATATAGGCACTTTAATTACAAAACTAAAAGATTTGAACTATTTTCTTACCTTACTCAAAACTATGCTCCAGTAGAAGTGTTAGTGGGGATTTATACAAAGAGTTAGGAGTAGAAGAAGGGAGTGACTTAAATCATTTATAAACAATATGAAAAACCGTATAACTATGTGCCTAGAAAAACAGATGCATTTCAAGTTGAAAACAGGAAGCTAAGCCCCTTAAAATTATTTCTAGATTTTATTTGGAGAGATTACAGGATATGCTTTGTTTCTACAATAAGATTAACTTTAATCTTACCTCTGGTAAACAGAATTCAGGCACAGAATCCACAAATACGTGACCCGAGCACTCTTTTAGCTCCTAAAAGAAAAGGAAAAAGATCCATAGGAAGAGATACCCAGTAGAAGAAACATCAAAGAAATTTAATTCAAAACACAAACTTTTTATGAGAAATCAGACTGCTAGAACTGGAGGGAAGCTGAAAGGCTATTTAAGTCAATAGTTTCCTGTTTGGAGGAGCTTTTGTGGTAGAGTGGTTAAAGCATTTGGCTGCTAACCAAAAGGTCAGTAGTTTGAACCCACCAATGGCTCCCAGGAAGAAGATGAGGCAGTTTGCGTCCATAAAGATTTACAGCCTTGGAAACCATATGAGGCAGTACTACTCTGTCCTATAGGATCACTATGACTTGGAATCGACTCGATGGCAGTAGGTTTGGTTTTGGTTTTGTTCCCTATTTAGGCTCAGGAGGCTAAGTGCCTTATTTGGGTAAAAATGCTGATTGGTGGCAGACTTAGAACTAGAACACACATTTCTAGATGCCTTTTCAGGGAAGCTGCTTCCAGTAACCCTTGATCTAACGGTTTCCAAATAGTGTTTATGTGGACTATACTAGCAATATCAGAATTATCTGGGGATACTAACTAAAGTCAAAGTTCCTGGGTTCTATCTAAGACCTAAGGGATCAGAAACTCTGGTGAAGCACCTCTGGAATCAGTACTTGTAACAAGCATCTCCAGATTATGTTATCAATCAGGTTAGGAATTATGGCCCCAGACAAATTACAAAGAGTCTCTTTCTTCTCCTCACAATTGGGGGAAAGGGCCAAGCAAGAAGAGGAATAGGTAGTAAGGATAAAACTACCACCACTACAACTATGACTATAATCTTTGCCCCTGCAAAAATTACCAAATGTATTCATTCAAAAGAAATATAACATAGTGCAACTCTCTACCCTGCCCATGACCTACCATATTTAGCATACCTGTCTTAGTTTGGGTTGCTCCAGAAGTAGACCCTGAGAAAAGGGGTTGAGAGCAAAGAGGTGCTGAAAACACAGCAGGAGAACGGGGAAGTGATAAAAGGACAGGCAGGTGGCTGATAAAGGATATATTAATGAGCCACATACCACAGTGGGCAACGGGCACTTATTCCTGTGGGGAAACTCTGAGAAACAGTATAAAGCATACATCTCAGAGTTATCCTACTACGGGATAAAGGATCTGAGACATTTATGTAACAGCTCCTTTATTTTGTGGCCACCATTTGTCCTTCACTTTGTTGTACTGTGGTGGCTTGTGTGTTGCTGTGAGGCTGGAGGCTATGCCACCAGCATTTCAAATACCAGCATGGTTACCAATGGTCAACAGGTTTCAGCAGAGCTTCCAGATTTACACAGACTGGGAAGAAAGAAGGGGCTATCCACTTCTGAAAAACTTTGCCTGTGAAAACCTTATGAGTAGCAGCAAAACACTGTCTGATATGTTACTGGAAAACTTTATGAACACACCTGAAACGTTGTCTAGAATGCCAGAAGATGAGTTCTGCAGGTTGGAAGGCACTCAAAATCCAAATGGAGAAGAGCTGCCTCCTCAAAGTAGAGTCGACCTTAATGTCCAGGATGGAGTAAAACTTTTGAGACATTCATTGGCTGATGGGGCACAACTCAAAATGGGAAGAAATAGCTGCACATATCCAATAATAATTGGAATGTGGAACGTACAAAGTATGCATCTAGGAAAACTGGAAATTGTCAAAAATGAAAGAGAATGCATAAAGATTGATATCCTATATATCAGTGAGCTGAAATGGACTGGTATTGGCCATTTTGAATCAGACAATGATATGATCTACTGTGCCCAGAATGACAAATTGAAGAGGAATGGAGTCACATTCATTGTCACAAAGAACTTTTCAAGATCTGTCCTGAAGTACAATGTTGTCAGTGATAAGATAAAATCCATATGCCTACAAGGAAGACCAGTTAATACTACTATTATTCAAATTTACACACCAACCACTAAAGCCAAAGATGAAGAAATTCAAGATTTTTACCAATTTCTGCCATCTGAAATTGACCAAACACACAATCAAGATGTATTGATGATTACTAGTGATTGGAATGCAAAAGTTGGAAACAAAGAATCACTTGTTGTTGTTTGTTGTTGTTATGTGCCGTTGAGTCGGACCCAACTCATAGCGACCCCTCCTTGGGTTTCCGAGACAATATCACTATGGAAGTAGATTTCCCCATCCTCCTTCCAAGGAGAGGCTGGTGGGCTTGAACCATCAACCTTCTGGTTAGTAGTCAAGTGCCTTAGGCACTATGCTACCAGAGCTCCCAAAGAATCACTAGTAGTCAGAAAATATGGCCTTGATGCAGAAATGATGCCAGAGATAGCATGACAGAATTTTGCAAGACCAACAACATAATCATTGCAAATATATCTATATTTTTTTTTTCAAAAACATAAATGGCGGCTATACATGTGGATCTCACCAGATGGAACACACAGAAATCAGATCTACTACATCTGTGGAAAGAGGCAATGGAGCTCATTATCTTCAGCTCAAACAAGGCTAGGAGCTGATTGTGGAACAGACCATCAACTGCTAATATGCACGTTCAAGATGAAGCTGAAGAAAATTAAAACAAGTCCACGAGAGCCAAATATGACTTTGCTTATATCCCACCTGAATTTAGAGACCATATAAAGAATGGATTTGACACTGTGAACACCAATGAGAGAAAACCAGATGATATCAAGAACATCATACATGAAGAAAGCAAAATGTCATTAAAAAGATAGGAAAGGAAGACATGACCAAAATGGATATCAGAAGAGACTCTTAAATTTGCTCTTGAACAGAGAGTAGCTAAAGCAAATGAAGAAATGACAAGATAAAAGGGTTAAAGAGGAGATTTCAAAGAACAGCCAGAGAAGACAAAGTCAATTACTATAATGAAATGTACAAAGACCTGGAGATAGAAAACCAAAAAGGAAGAACATGCACAGCATTTCTCAAGCTGAAATAACTGAAGAAAAAATTCAAGCCTCAAGTTGCAATATCGAAAGATACTATGGGTAAAATATTGAATGATGCAAGAAGCATCAAAAGAAGATGGAAGGAATACAGAGTCACTGTACCAAAAAGAATTGGTCGATGTCCAACTATTTTGGGAAGTGGCATATGATCAAGAATCAATGGAGGAAGAAGTTGAAGCTGCATTGAAGGAACTGATGAAAAAAAAAGGCTCCAGGAATACCCACTGAGATGTTTCAACAAATGCATCCTACAATGGAGGCGTTTACTCATCTGCCAAGTAATTCAGAAAACAGTTACCTGGCCAACTGACTGGAAGAGATCCATATTTGTACCCATTCCGAAGAAAGGTGATCCACCAGAATGTAAAAACATTATTAATATCACACACAAGTAAAATTTTCCTAAAGATAATTCAAAACTAGTTGCAGCAGTACATAACAGGGAACTTCCAGAAATGCAAGCTGGATTCAGAAGAGAATGTGGAATGAGGGATTATCACTGCTGATATCAGATGGATCTTGGCTCAAAGCAAAGAAGACCAGAAAGATGTTTACTTATGTTTTATTGACTATGCAAAAGCATTTGATTGTGTGAATCATAACAAATTATGGATAACACTGAGAAGAATGGAAATTCCAGAACACTTAATTGTACTCATGAGGAACCTGTACATAGA